TTACTGAAAACTTCAGTCGAAAGAGATTTTAGCTGACAAGTCCTTTTGAGGGCCATGAAACATTAAACTATTATGACAATTAATATATTACAACTTACCAAAGTAAAAAAAAAACAGTCTTTAAGGCTCACAAAAGTTTTAACCATGCTTACAGTTACAAGAGGATAAACTAAAAAAACAGCTTTACATGCATTCAATGTATACAATTTCGGGTGTCAAGAATTTTATGAAAAACAGTTATTATAATTGAAACAGCAACAATAAGGTTTGAAAATAAAAAATCTTGTAAGTAAAAGACTAGTTTTCCATTATAACCCTGACATTATAAGAACTTATTGCTCTGGTAATAAAGTTGTGAGATTAAAAGCAAAGTTTTTAATTATGTATATTTCATCAGTTTAAAATTTTTGCAGTCCCAATTAATGGCCCTTTTAAATTCTGATGACTTAAAAAAGAGCAAGACAACGGTCCTTTAGGGCCAGCATTTATTTTATGACATATGAAAAGCATGGTACGTTTCTGCATTATTATACTTTTTCTTTGTTTTTAAATCTTATTATTGTACCAATTAGACCACTCGAATTCAAGACAAAAACGTTCCTAATAAGAACTTTTTTGTTTTTAGATGTATTAAGAATAGGTTGCGGGGACTATACGCATGGAGCCACGACCTGGGGCGAGTAAGCGCAAAGATGCCCAAGAACAAGCAATGGTTTTGGCAGCATGGCAAAGGAAAAGGGAAAGCAAGGCAGGTACCAGAGAGCAAGAACAGAAGTAGCATTCTGGAGATGAGTTCCCTTTGGAGTGGATTGAATGACTCTAGACAGCTGGACGTCCACTATCCGTTAGTTTTTCTCTTAATTCCCTTCAAGAGCAGGGCCACCTTGATTTAAAGCCTCTTACCTCTACTTGGTTTACTCTTTCTGGAATTCGTTAGAAGGATGGGCCATTTAAGTTATTGAATAGAATGAGTTAGCGAGTTGTCTTTATAATGATTCCTCGTCACTCGAGTACTCAATCCCTCGTGGTGGCTTGCTAAACGTACTTATCTTTGTTTGCTTAATAAATCGCCTATTTTTCATTGAATTTTATTGAGATTCTTTTTCTATCGTCGTACCATGCAATCTAGATGACGCATCTCATTGATTCTGTGATGCGTCCACAATTACGTTCCTTTTCTTTTTCGTATCTGTTATAATTATAAAGTAAAGAAGATTGATAAGTCTAATAGGATATACGTGGTAAGGGGGTTGAAGTCAATATTATGTTGGTAATAGTTAGCACACAGGAAAATTTAAACCAAAAGATTGTGCATTCGAATATATTAACCTTCCTTTTGAGCATTTGATACAGCTTAGGTAAAATGAGTGTTAAGATCTGTTCTATGTTTCACTGAACTAACCAGAGGTTTAATGTATTGTTTTGTATGCAAAATTATGCTAATTTTCTTAGTAACGTATGTGATCCACGTGAGAATAAGCATTCGATTATAATTTATGCGCTTATTAACAAGAAAAAAGGAATAATTGTTGAGGCATAAGCTATGAATTTACATTTAACTTAAATCGTTACGTTACCATATTTTGTTAGAAAAATTTGTACTAATGTAATATTAAGCATGTTGTGAATTTTAATACCAGTAATTTAGTTAAAAGTACATTACTAGCCATTTTGGTCGGGTAAGAATGAGACTCCGTAGCTGGCATTTTTCATAATTTGGCTAGAAGATTCATAAATGTATTAATTTAAAGCTTCAATATTTTTATATGATATTATCAGTTAAATATACATTAAATTTGCTTTGTAATTATTTTGTATTATTTGGGTGCACATTGTATCCCTGGTTTATCATTGCTGTTCCTTTATAATAAAAGAACGTATCCTACTTGGACAAACGAACATCCCCCCCCCTCCCGAAAACGTTTTACAGAACTTGTAATCACACTACGGTGTTCCATTCAGTGAGTCTTTGGCAAAGCCACTAGTCCATTAAATTTTAACAAATGATAACCGGAATTCTGTATTAAATTTATTTTAAAAACATCAAAAAAAAAAAAGAACATAAATCTATTAGTTTCAATGAGTACTGTGCTGCAAAATTGTTGTTTAATAAGCGCCGACTTTTCTCTGACCAGTCTTACGGCATGAATTCCATCGAAAAAATTTAGCACTTCTCTAAAAATTTTTTCTATTTTTTTAAGACTGGTTTTAACCGTAGCGCTCTGCGGTATATTTTTATTAAATTCTTTGCTAGTTTCGCATATACTTATCCCTAAACGATCTGCATACTAAAATTTTTTTACTTCATGAACTTTTCTGCTCAATTGTCTTTCTTGGTAATGTCCAGCAAAAGTCATCCATTATATTAATATCCCACTGTCCATAATATCGTCTCTTTGTCTTATAAGTCCTATCTTTATGTAATCGCTCATGTTACTCTTCGCTGAAATCTCCAAAGTTTTTCTGGAAAAGAGTACAGGTAAGAGTTGAGGAAATGTAGTTTTAGTTTTATGAGATATCCTCATTCTCGATAACTCTGTATCATATTCTTCGCAGTTTTTACATATTTTTTAATTTAAGTGTTTCCAAGAAAACTCTCCACGATATTTTTGATGTAAGTACGATCGTGCATTAAAAAATATTGGAACATAGTTTTAATGATGTTACATTTTTTTTAACAATCGTAAATCTTTGAAAAACTTGAGGACTAGATATAAAGATAAAAGATGATTAACTTTGGTGAGTGTAACCAAATGTCTTGAAGAACAGGCCTTTTAATGTAAAGTGAAACTGCTCGTAAAAGACTGTACAAAAGTGTAATAGCAACTTCGACCATCTAACACTTGCTTTATTATTGAAAATTTAATACAGAATGAAAACAGTTTTTGTTGGTTAAGCAGGACTATTTGTTGTTACAAAAATAACGTGACATTAGGTGAATCTGTTCTAGTTTCAAACTAAATGTTGTTCTTACCTTCTTTAGCAGGCTCACGGATTTTATCAGACTTGGTAAAGACATTATGAAAAAGAAGAGTAGGTCCAATATTATTTATAAAATTGGTTTCAAGGATTGTAGTACTTGCTACATTGGTCCAAGTAAGCGTTGACTCTCTTATCGCTTACGTAAACCCATGGGATATCTTCATAATTTTAACTATTTTTTAATGATAGTAAATATATAACTAGGTACATTTAAAAAAAAACCTTATTCTGAATCTATAAGTCACTGGTCATTAGTTATCTTATAGCAAAGTCAAGAGTACAAAGTATTTTGTTGTAGTCAGCCAACTTATAAAATCAATATTTACGTACATGTGCTGTAGAATAAATGCTTGACTTGATCAATAGCTTTAGCTGGTTTTTCTGATACCAAAGAAAGAAATAATGATTACTATAATTGTAATTCAAATGTAGAAGTAAGAAACAGGTAGTACTGTCATAAGAATTTTAAGTCTGTTGATATATATTTAACAGTGACTAATCATAATAGCAAAAACTACAAACAAAATAGACCCAAACCCAAAGAAAGTAAAAGAAGACATTTTTTAGGTACGTTTTAACTCTGACTTTCTGAAAATGTACAAATCAGTGAAAACAGCGTTCGTTAGAACTGATGCTTACAGTATGCAGGCTCAGAAACTCTGAATTACAAGTGTTCATTGGTTTGTGACTTCAAGTGAAATATTTTTACTAGTTACGTTGCCACTCGTGAAATCACTAGTCGTAATTAAAGGTTTGTTATACGTTGTATTTTTTGAGAAATGAATAGGAACACAAATTACATTCAAACATGAAAGTTACAACCTTATGGTAAGATAGTATTAAATCGTTTTAACTAGGTAACAATTCTGAGGGCTTTAAAAATAAAAGTTTTCATTTTATAGATAATAATTGTTTACGTCATTTAAGTATATATTCTATACGTCCTGTATGGTCAACTTCTACTAAAAATTGCAAATTCATACATGTACATAAAGCACAATAAGGATAAGTTTTCATGGATTTACTTAGCATTTTGGTACACAACTAATTGAGATTTTAAGTTTCGTACTATACTTATATTACCTTGTACAGGAAAAAATAAATTTGTTCCACAATAACTATTAAGCTGTTGTTCAAACAAATGCAAATTTAATTTACTATCGTGAAATGAAATAATTTCATAAGTCAATAATTTTCAGAACACATGATCGCTGCTTATCAACATCATCATAGTATATTATTCTCTTGTAGATAATTTGGACAGACTTCTTCAACTGTTTTAATGGAATGGTTTGTTAAACCTTATTTTTATACTTAATACGGAGACAGTGCATACACACCTAACTGAAGTTGGTTAAAATTTTTACTAGATGTTAAATTAATACATCTTACTTGTTACTAGATTCACAAAAAAACCACATTAAAGTCTATTTAATTCGTAGGGATCTTTTCTCACCAATGCATAGAAATTGCATATAAGCTCTTTCTTTCATGGCATCTCTTTTTGTTCTGCTTTCTGTCCATCGTTGTGGCATACACATCTTGGCTTGCCGTACCATACGTCACTATAGACTCTACTACAGAAAAAAAGAACACTGTACCTGGCCTAGCACCTTGTAACTTTGTTTTACTTTGAATACAGAAATAGTTCTTGACTGACAAACCTTCAACTGAAGCAATAATCTCTTATATAACCCTTATATTCTTATTTGATCAAATCCTTCAACAAATCTTATTAGGCCAGCTTACAACTTCTTTTTGGGGAAGGGTTGCATGTAGTTTAAAAAGCAAGTTATTAAGAAAGGAATATTTTGTGCCCTGTACTGATGCAACGATGATTTACTAGAACTTTATTAAAATAGTTAAATTTTATATCAAAAAATTATTATTTTTATTGCCTTAGCTATAATTATATCATTAAGCACGCAGTGGCTCAGTCGGCTAAGTTATAGGTCGGCCTTTTATAAAAAAGTAAATGAAACATAGGCTTATTCTTTGTTAAGACTCAGCTCAAGCTTTTATTTCTTTAGAATAGATACCAGTTTTTTTCTAAATTTTAAAGACATCAAAGTATAGACTACTGGATTTACAGCAGAATTTAAATAAAACATTAATCTTGAAAAATTCAATAGACAAAAGTACTTTTCTACTCCAACATCAATAATTGCATCTAGTTGGCTCATTAGTATCCACATAATCATTAGTCGTAGAGGCAATAAGCATATAAAAAATGTAAATATAATCATACAAAGCATTCGTACGATTTGATCTCTAGTCTTTACTACTGTCGCTATGGATATGCATCTTAAAACTGTCGTCTGTTTGAGCTGATAAACTATTAGAGAATAGATAATAAGTAATATAGCTGCTGGTAAGATGAAAAAAAAAAAAAAAACAGCTATAATATACACTACACTCCATAGTGTTCTTGCTTCTGTCCTGCAAACAGGTATGTTGTTAACTAAATCCTCGTTATCTTCTTGAAAAGTCACCATAACAAGGAATGGGCTGAAAAAAGTTAATACGCAATTAGATTGATTTTACTAGAATTGTACACATATTAAAAAATAAAAAATACGCGGAAATCTAATAACAAACGCTGTCAGTCACTTTCAGGATACTGAATAACCAATTCTTAAGAACTATTAGCGAATTCTTAGGATTGATAGTGAGCAGAAAGATAAGGCAGACTACTTTGGGATATAATCTTCAAAGTGCCTTTAAAAGACACTGTTAAAAAAAAAAAGTATTTATTTTCAGCAAGCTTGGGACGTGGTTAACGGTTGTCTTTTCTCACTCAACTCAAACTCAGTTACAATTTTTGGCTTAAAGCTAGTTACACAACAAGTCTTAAAGTATGTCTCGTGACGGGTTTTAAAGTAGGTCACAGAGTATACGTAAGAAACTGGTCTAAAAAATGTTAGCAAGTATAACAACAGGTTATTAAATAGATCTCCACGTATGTATCAACATTGGTTTTAAAATACATTTGAAAGCTTGTCTTAATTCTGGTCTCGAAGTTCGTTCTAAAACCAGGGTTTAAGCTCGTGTAAGAACTGATTTTAAAATAGATTTCAGAGACTTGTTCCAAAATAAGTCATCAATTGAATCTAAGAATCAAATCTTACAGTTATCATTGTACAAAATCGACAAACTGATTATAAATACATACACGTAGATTGAAAAAAGGATTTATTACAGATAACAAGATTGAAATTTAAAAATGGTGTAAAGCTTGCTAAAACAATGATCCTGACAGAGTTCTTAATAACTGAAGCTAGCGCGTGCCTACTCTGTTGAGCATCTGAGCAGTATGCATGTGGATGCTTAACATTAGAACTGGCCCTGACAATAGACGCTGTATTATTCTCGCTCCCAACGATATGGTTTTTAGCAGTAGGGTGGGATGGAGGTGATGGCTCCTTAGTAGAACTTCTTAAGTAGACAGGAGACAAAACAAAAACCATTTGTGTAACAAAAATGTTAAAAAAAAGTGACGCATCTCTACTTTGATCATTATTTAAGTGATAAATAATTTTACTCGTCTGATTAGGTGCATCGTCCAATCGATAACTGCTGTAAAGGATCCAGTAGGGGCTCAAGGACTTTAACTGCTACTAGGTTTAAGGCTAGGAATAGGACTTTGAGCGGCATTAAAAAGAGGACATTAGAAAACATAGAAAAGACTTATATTTGTGCCTGCAAGGATAGACAGTATATTCATTGTGGCGAGTTAGTTATATAGTTCAAGAAAACTTATGATGTATTGATTTTACTTAAAAATAAAACTTTNATTCTTGCTACATTATACGAAATACAAAGTATAAAAACTTATGGATAAACTTCTTATTTTGTTTCTTTTGTCACACTGACAATAATATCTTAGTTTTAGCAAAACCACGTTAAAAAAACTAAAATTTAAGATATATTTAATCAGTGTAACATTTTACTAGAATTGTACACATATTAAAAAATAAAAAATACAAACTCTACAAATTTTTGTCTATCAATAAAACCTTTATTGTTTATATAAGCCAGTCACTATTTTGTAAACATAAAAAGTATAAGTTAAATATGAGTACCTTATCTGATTCCATTTTAATGGTATCAAGATAAGTAAATTGTAATAATAAACTAGATGCCCTGATCCATCATTGATATGAAACAGTACTTTCCGGAGTTATTCTTGTTAACTAATGATAAAATGAATCCAAAAAGAATGTTGTGCTTCATTGTTATCAGTTTGTCAAAATCAAGTTTTCAATTAACAGATAAAGTTAATGATAATCTCATTACAACGAAAAAAATTGAAATATTTTGCAAATACAAAATAGGAGACTGTTTAGATAAAATGTATAAATTATTAAAATTATTATTAAAAGTAATTTAAAAACTACTAAAATGCTTTATGAGGTAATATTATCTAAGAACTTTGGTATCAACTTCATCTACTTAATTATGAACTGATTTTGAAGCATTTCCCTCGTTACGGTGTAAGAATCTAAATTGTTAATAAAATTTTCAGAAAAGTTAGATAATTTATTTGTAGTGATAAAGTTATAAGGTTTGTTTGTTGTAGAAATTGCTAAATCATATCATTATGATGTAGTAGTTTGTACCTTTTAAGTTGTATTTACATGATGAAACTTGTTTGTAATGGATAAATCTGATGACTAATTTAATTTTTTTACAATTATAACTTTACCAGCTTTGTCTAAATTACGCAATAAGCCAGTTTTTATTTCAAGGCTATAAAAAAAAGTGTAAGAATAAATTCTTTACTGTCACAAGATAGGATGTTTCTTGCACAATAGAAAATTTAAAATGAATTAGTTTTCATATTGTGCAAATAATTTGAAAAATTAATTCTTAGCAGACTATGGCATAAGTATCTTGATACTAAGTACTTTTCTGTTATCGCTTTTTCATGTAAAAGTAAGAGATATTCAAAGTGGATAAGTAACAGTGGCTGTGGCATAGTGTATTAACACCAGTAGTGGTTCTAGCACAGCTCGTGCTATTGGACTAGCCATATCTTATGATATTAGATGACAGTCTTAGAGCACTCTTGTGTTATTAGATAATGGCTTTGATGCAATCACTTGCTATTAGATAATGCTTCTGGGGCTTTCTCTCGCTATTGGACAAGCTTTGTAGCCCCTTTTCATGGTCTACGGTAAGTTTTGGATGGACAGCCACTGGTTATTCAGGGTATTCTGCTCCGTTTTTTGGCAAAAATGCAAACACCTCATTATATTAAATTGAGGCTACCCTTACAGAACGAGCTGTAATCTAAATCCAGCATTTCTTCTTTGATCTGGACTATAGGATTAAAATAGTTGTAAGTTTTTAATGCCTTTTAAGATTCGTTTGGTTTTATACATACGAATGAAGAAATAAAATTTAAATTCTAAAAAACTTTTTCCCGTTACTCGAATTTTAATCTTAAGATCCGGGGCAATCGTAAGGAACGCTGCTGATTGTGATATTGCAGAGCTTAATTTTACCCGTACTTATCAAAATATGTTTAAACGATGCTTTTGTAAAGCATAATACTACTATCAGGATCTTATATCGACGATTATTGTTACTTATATACTTGTTGATACGTGTTACTTTCTGCAGCGTAATTAGACCGTTATTGCGTATGTTGATTTCGTTTTCTTATCAAAATTATAGTCAAAATTAAGTAACAAACTAGATGAAAGTTTCATTATGAACCATATAAAAATAAATGTTATTAATTCTTGCTACATTATACGAAATACAAAGTATAAAAACTTATGGATAAACTTCTTATTTTGTTTCTTTTGTCACACTGACAATAATATCTTAGTTTTAGCAAAACCACGTTAAAAAAACTAAAATTTAAGATATATTTAATCAGTGTAACAAAATTTTATTACCACTAGATACTAATTAAATAGTATCTTACTATAATAAGAGAAAAAATTTTTTTAAATCGAATAATTAATATCTACTTTTATAAACTACCAAGATAACTATAGCTTAACAAAACTTAACTTGGACAGAAAACAATGCAGTGCTACAGCAAAGTAAAAAAATTTAAACTTATAAAAAAAAAAATGTCAAAACTTGGTAAGTTTCTTATAAATATATGAAGTATTCCATCTTAACAAGGACAAAAAAAGTTTTTATCTCTACATTTAAGCTTAAGACAGCACTACATCAGCAAATATATCCTTAATATTGCAAACTTTTTGACCCACCTAAGGTCTCTATCCTGTCAGTAACAGTCAAAAAATAAGAATTTTTTTTCAAACTGCTGCATTGCTTATTTTGCTGTGAAATAAATAAGAGAAATTAATAGTCTAACGAATACCTACTTTTCTAATATAACATAATTAACAAAAAAAAATCTAGATATAATTTATGAAAATTTTAGTATTTTATTCTTTTTAACTAAACTAATACAAGATTTATGTGTTTTTTCACATTGTGATATTTTATAGTATTATTTTTTACCCTACTTCAAACCAAATTAGTTGCATAATGGTAATCGACCAGGAACAGTCTGAAAACGGGCCAAAAGAAGGAACGTAACGACCTTTCATCATGTCTGACACTAAAAAGTTATAAGTCACGACATAAAGACAAATTGTATCGTCTCTTGGGTCACTTTATAAAAATTTAAGCTCAGAAAGCAAAAAACTACATGGTGAGTCCAGTATAGCTAAATATATTTTACAAATCCATGAAATTTCGGTTTGGAAGTAATCATTATATTCTACATTAAATATTGACTTGAAAATTGATTTTATTTACTTTTAGTTAAATTTAACATTTTCCAGGGAAAAATTTATAATGTTTAACATTTCGTAAGCAAAATAAAGTTCTTTAACTTCAAATTTCATACAATAATACTAATAAAGAACGAAAACTTATTGTATACATTAGACATTTGCCTGTAGTCGTAAGTAGGTCATCACTCCATGAGGGGCGCAAGTATGGTGATCCCTTACAAGTGTAAGTTGCTACCAAAATCAAGGGTAGAGTTAGCTATATACCCTCGAGTTGATACTAAACTTTTCCCTTCATTCCCAAATACTTTTTTTACTTTCTGTTATTAAAAATAGGACATGTTTCTTTGATTTAAAGACTGAGAGTGCTACATGATCTCCAAGGAAAAGTCGAGTAATTGCTTACAAGGAAAGTAATTTATTGTTCATTTTAGACTTGTTTTTAGCTTACAATATTTTAAATTTTCTGCATAGATTATGCGTATCAACTAACATGGACACAAAACTAAAGATGTATCCAAATGTTCGGATCTATATGCGCTATAGATACGCAAGTGACTTTTATTAAAAATGCTCCGAATGCAAGGTTATTTTTATAGCCTAAATGCTCGTCCGTTTAGTCATATAAAAAACATTCTTAGTGTATGTATAGAAAGCCCATAATACTTTATTTAACATCCACCTAAGAACATCTACATAAATAAAGAATAAAATCATAGTTTGAACATTGTAAATGCTGTCTCATTT